TTTTAATCATTAAGCCAAACACTCACACCTGGTTCCATTTTTTCATGACCCTTTTTTCATTTTAAGATTTATTTTACTTGAAATGTATAATGACAGAGAGAGGGTGACTATAGAGAAAGAGTTCCAGCTTTCCCAATCCTCACATAGACTGCAATGGCCAGAGTTGGGCCAAGCTGAAGCAAGGAGCCAGGAGAACACCATTTGAGGTTTACCATGTGGGTAGAAAGGGTCCAAGTACTTGGGCCATCATCTGCTATACTCCCAAGTGTATTAGCAGGAAGCGGAGTCAGAAGCAGAGCAGCCAGGATTTAAAGCAGCACTTTGATAAAGTATGTCAGTCACAAGCAGCAGTTTAACCTACTGTGCCACATTGCTGACCCTGTCCATGAGCTTTCTGAAATATCCTTGCATTTATCACTGAACTTAAAAAAAAAGATTTATTTATTTTTATTGGAAAGGCAGAGATATAGAGAAAAAGCTCTTTTGTCCACTGGTTCACTACCCAAGTGGCCACAGTGGCCAGAGCTGAGCTGATCCAAAGCCAGGAGCTAGGCGCTTCTTCCATATTTCCCACATGGGTGCAGGGTCCCAAGGCTTTGGACCATCATTGTCTGCCTTTCCAGGCCAGAAGCAGGGAGCTGGATGGAAAGTGTGGCCGCTGGTATTAGAACCTGCGCCCCTATAGGATCTTGGCGCATGCAAGGCGAGAACTTTAGCTACTAGGCCACCACACAGGGCCCATCACTGAAGTTTTAAGGAATGAGGGTTAGCAAATCTATGGAAGAAAAGATGAGACTGAGCTTATTTTTTTAAAGAAGGAAAGTAGTATTTCAATTTTATTCTTAAGACAGAGTGCTAATTGGCTTGATGTCTCAGGTGGCTAATGGGCAGGAGGTTAGGAGAGCATGGGTGTTGTGTATTTCCTCTATAAAGAAGCTTACAAGATAGAATTTTTGGACATATTCACTACAAAGAAATGTTAGTTGTCCTAAAGGATAATATATATTTACCCTGATTAGATAGACATGCAGTGAAAAATCACATAGTACTCCATACATATGTAATAATGTAATATTTGTATGTCTGTTAAAATTTTTAAATTACATTTAAAGAAGAGCATAGCTGAAGGTAATGATTGGGAAAATAGAATAATTTGTTTTATATGTCTCAAAAAGATGAGATAATGTATTCCAAGTATATAGATAATAACGTGTGGGGGAGGTATGAAATATTTATGTTTTTATGTATAGCAATAATGTAGTGGTTACAATTTGGATTTGGAAATAGTTTGTCTGGGTTGAGTTCCCTCTTTCCCATTCATGTATTGTGCCCTGTTGTCCTCATGTATAAGATGGGGATAATAGCAAGATTTGTCTTGTGAGGTAGCTAGGATCATTACATGAATATACATGTGTAAAAAGCTTAAGACTGCCTGACAATAAGCATTCAGTAAGTAGGTGATTTCCTCACAATCATTATCATTGTGATACTATGGAAAATGTATGGTTTGGGATTCAACCTGGGAAGGTTGCTTAGTTTTGAAGGAGGAAGAGAAATTATCCAAAGTGGAGACAGAAAGGGTAGACCAGGGAGGAAGCAAGGGCAATAGAGACGAGGAAGATGAAATACTAACCCGTGGAATGCTAGGCACGAAGCGGAATCCACCTCAGTGTGCAAGCACGTATGAGGCCCTGGGTGATATTTTACCTGGGAGAGTCTTCATCTCCTTACCTGGGCTCTAGAGTCTGAAGGGCCAATCAGGCTACAGTTGTAGGCACGGAAGGATGTGACCAGGGAGGTTTCCATGGTCTCTGGGCACTTGGATAGGGGATGCAGTGGACATCTCCATAGGCAATGCCATCTATATAGCTACCTGTTCCCTTGGCTTCTTTTCCCTCTATTTAAATGTCAGCACTGCAGCCACACCACAGGACCCTCTCCATCTAAATTCCAAAATCCTTGCTGGGACCACATGTGCTTTAGTTTGTACAGACTGTAACAATAGTTTTTAACCCTGTTAGATGATATGGTAAAGCTGCTAGGTTTTATTTGACTTATTTTTAAAAGATTCCGTTTATTTATTTGGAAAACAGAGTTAGGGGCAGGGGTTGGGGAAGAGAGAGAGAGAGAGAGAGATCTTCCTCCATTCACTGATTCATTCCCCAAATGGCTACAATAGCCAGGGCTGGGCTAGGCCAAAGCCAGGGGCTTCTTCCAGGTTTCCTATGTCGCTGCAGGAGCCCAAGGTCTTGGGCAACATTCTGCTACCTTTCCAGGCACATTAGCAGGGAGCTATATTGGAAGCAGAACAACTGGGACTGAAACCAGTGCATAATGGGATACCAGCATTGCAGGAGGTGGCTTAACTAGTAGTGCCACAATGACAGCCCCCCCCCAAGTGTTGTTGTTGTTGTTGTTTTTCTCAGAGTTGTTTAATATTTCAGTGTGTAGAGTCAAGAAAGGAAAACCTCTCCTTTTAAAAAAATATGTATTGATTTTTATTGGAAAGTCAGATATACAGAGAGGAGGAGAGACAGAGAGGAAGATCCTCTATCTGCTGGTTCACTCCCCAAGTAGCTGCAATGGCTGGAGCTGAGTTGATCCAAAGCCAGGAGCCAGGAGCATCCTCCAGGTCTCCCATGCAGGTGCAGGTTCCCAAGGTTCTCTACTGCTTCCTCAGGCCACTAGTAGGGAGCTGGATGGGAAGTGGAGCAGCAGGGATTAGAACTGGTGCCCATATGAGATCCCAGCATGTGAAAAGTGAGAACTTTAGCCACTAGGCTACCGTGCTAGGCACAAGCATTCCCTTTAGAACAAGGTTCATTCCCAAGAATGACTGCCAATGATATACATAAATAAAAATTAAAATAAAAGGGGCTGGTGCTATGTGCAGATTAAGCTGCCATACTGGTATCCCATATGGGTGCTAGCTGGAGCCGTGAGTGCTCCACTTCTGATATAGTTTCCTTCTAATGTACCTGGGAAGGCAATAGAAGATGGCCCAAGTATTTAGCCCCTGAAATCTGTGTGGGAGATCTGAATGGAGTTCCTGACTCCTGGCTTCAGCCTGGCCCAGCCTGGCCATTACAATAATTTGGGAAAGTGAACCACAGGATGGAAAATCTCTCTTTCTCTCTGTATCTTTCCCCTCTCTCGGTAACTCTGTCTTTCGATTAAATAAATGAATCATTAAAAGAAAAAACAGAATGACTATCAAATTGAAATGGATAATACAATCATTACTGCAGTTGAATATCGAGGCTTTATGGTCCCATGTAATGAGTCTGAGATAAATTTTATCAAAATGCCCTGTATCTGTAACTCCCAAGTATTCATTGAAAGAATAAAGTTATTCTTAAGTCTCAAAGTGAATCCTAATGAGAATAATAGTCCCCACTGGAGTACACTAAAGACAAACATTATTAGTCCTTAATTTCTCTTCTTCTGAAACATTATCAACCTCCATCAAAAAATGTTGAGGTGCACAGTAATTTAGAAATTATTTTAAAAAACTAATTATTCTGATTTGCTTTAAAAATGTTTTTCAAGTTTAGTTTGTAATTGTAATTTCTCAGTGTTAACCAGATCATGAAAAAAATGTATTCTGTAAAATCCATTCTGTCTGCAGCTGCTAGCATTGTACCTTCCAAATGTCATCAGTCTAAATATTCAAAAAGACAGAAGCTATTTGCAGAGAACTTCTGAAGAATGGCCTTAGTAGCAAGTCAGAATTAAAGAATATGTCATTGTTTTTGAATCATTTACCTGTTTCTGCAATGATGTTGCATATTAAGCGGCCACATTAGCATATAATAAAGGTTTCTTTTGCTAGCAAGTCTACAGATTAGCCAAACACCTCTGATCCTAGCAACGTTGATTTAACAGTTTTGGAGGCCTGGGCTGGGGTTCACCTGTGTATCTGGGGATCTGCTGGCTGAAGTTGATCTGGGACAGCCTTGGCCAGGATGGCTCAGATCTAGCCCACTGAGGCTTGGATCTTTCGGTAGGCCAGCCTGGGCTTCGCAAATGGCATACAGTTGTGAAAACAAGCATGTCAAAGTGTACAAGACATCCCAAAACCTGCCTTTCAGTTGGTATATGTGACTTACACTACATCCCTTAGGCAAATACCAGTCATGAGCCAAGCTCAGCTGGAAGGGAGGCAAAAATAGACTGTGCAGGAGAATGATTGTAAAATTACATTAAAAAGAACATGGCTGGAAGTTGGGAGAATTGGGGGTTAACAGAACCAGCTCATGAAAAAAATATATCTTCAGTTGATAGCAATTAACCTAACATTTACCCCAAAGCCCTTCCTCTTTTTGCACTAAAATCGTCTGAATTTCTGTCCTTGGGTTGTTTCCTGGGCAATCAAGCAAGAAGGGATCCTGGGTTTCAGCACCTACTAAAATGGGCATCGGAGGCAATCTGTTAAATAGCAAACTCTCTCTGAGGGAAAGAAGCCCTTTGGGTATTTCTATCTATGGCTTGTCATTTAACTTCATCTGCTTTGTTACCAAGAAAAAAAAGAAAGAAAACCATGTCAGAAAATTTATTTCTTCTGTGAAGAGAGAAACAAATCAATTAAAGCTAAGTAAAAACCCTCTGAAGTGTTTAATGGGGAAAATTGAATGCTGTGGTTTAATTCTCTGTGGATCCTGAATAGTAGCAGATGTTTGAACCAAATACAGTATATTGTTATGATTCTAGCCTTATATATAAAAAAATCTTAGATGTAAGAATAGGTGACACATTTGGAGCTGGGGCTCAAAATACCTTGACTCCACCAGATTTCACTGTGCTTCCCCATGAGCCTGGGCTCTCTCCTTTGGTACAACATGGACCCAGGAAGAGATGCTAATAATGCATGTAAATGTAGCTGGTGGTCCCAGAACTCATCACTCCTCCTGGTAAGAGGGGAGTATCTAGTTATCCTATGGAAGTGCTGAAGTGTTGATTTCCACTCTCCTTACGGACCCTTCTGTCTTTTGTTTTTCCAGAATTAGCAAGTAGACTTTTTGAACGCACACTTCAGGATATCAAGGATAGAAAGGACTATGTGGAGTTGGTAGACGTCCCCGACTCCTATGAAGGACCTCGACTGGAATTTCCTCTCACTTTTGCTGATATTGACTTACTAATTGAGGCCTTCAAGAAGCAACAGGCAAGTGGAAGCAGACATTTCCGTGATTCTTCTACATAACACGTGCCCAATGATTGTTGAATGAATGAATGGCTACATGGATTAAAACACCATTGCAGAAATGCATTTCACATTATGAGTTGCCTGTGCTTTGCAGTTTCCTCGAATGCATGGCACCTTCCCCTCCCTGTTTTCCAAGGTACGATTTGCCTACCATATTATTCACCATTTGAAAGTGTACAAGTCCATGAGTTTTAGTACAAGTCACAAGGCTGTGCAACCATCGCCAGTATCTATTTCTAGAACATGTTCATCACCTCGAAAAGAAAGACTATACTCATTACCATTCCTTCATCCACTACCCTAGTCAACCACTGCTTTATTTTCTGTTTCTGTGGATTTGCCTATTCTGGATGTTTCATATAAATGAAATTATATAACATGTATCCTTTTATGTTTGGCTTTTCCTCTTAATATAGCATCTTTAAGGTTCCTCTATATCATGTTATTACTTTGTATTGTTCCATGGCTGAATAGCATTCCAATGTATACTGCATTCTGCTTATCCATTTATAAATGGATGAATACTTGGGTTGTTTCTACATTTTGGCTATTAAGAACAGTGCTTCTATGAATGTCCATGTACATATTTTTGTGTGAATACATATTTTTAGTTTTCTTATACATATTTGTGAATTTTCCAGTGTTGCTTCTGTTATTTATTTCTTTATTCCATTGCAATCAAAGATTTACATGATTTCAGTCCTTTCAAGTTTATTGAAGCTTAGTTGGTGACCTAACATCTGGTCTCCCTGGAGAGTGTTGCATGTGTACTTGAGAAAAATGTGGATTCTGTTGTGGAGTAGATTGCTCTATTGTATGCTTCTATTGTCTAAAATTTCTTTTCCTTTAGCTTATGTTCCTTTACTGTTAAAAAGTATCTATTCATTTATAAGAAAGCATTACAGAGAGAGGAAGAGAAATAGAAGTGGAGGGAAGTAAGGAAGCAGAGAGAAACAGAGGTCTTACATCTACTTATTCATTCCCCAAATGGCTGCAACAGCCAGACCTGAGCTGAGCTGAGCTGAGCTGCTCCAAAGCCTGGAGTCAGGAGCCAGGAGGCAGGAGCCAGGAGCTTGCTCCAGGTCTCCAGCAAAGCTGTGAAAGATGGTCCAAAGCCTTGGGACCCTGCACCAACTCCAGCTGTTGTGGCCCTTTGCAGAACAAACCAGCAAAGGGAAGGTCCCTCTTTGCCTCTCCTTCTCTCTGTAAATCTGCCTTTCCAATAAAAATAAAATTTAAAATGTTAAAAAATAATAAATAGGGCCCGGCACGGTGGCGCAAGTGGTTAAAGGTCCTCGCCTTGCACACCTGGGATCCCATATGGGCGCCGGTTCTAAACCTGGCAGCCCCGCTTCCCTTCCAGCTCCCTGCCTGTGGCCCGGGAAGGCAGTTGAGGACGGCCCAAAGCTTTGGGACCCTGCACCCGCGTGGGAGACCCGGAAGAGGCTCCTGGCTTCGGATCGGCATAGTATCGGCCCGTTGCGCTCACTTGGGGAGTGAATCATCGGACGGAAGATCTTCCTCTCTGTCTCTCCTCTCTGTATATCCGCCTTTCCAATGAAAAAATAATAAAAATAAATCTTTAAAAAAATAGAAAATAATAAATAAAAAATTAAGGGCAACTGTAGGAGGGAGAGTGAACTTAAAGTTGTGTGGCTTTGCAGAAATTGAAGCTCAGCTTTGAATCTTCCCATTCCAAAACTGAATTAAAATCATCCAAGATAACTGGTACTCCTAGCCATCTGCCAGCAGTAAATTTAAATCCTCTTTGGGAGTGAGCAGGCTTTAAATCATGTCTTCAGATTTTCATATACAAGGGTAATTTAAAAAGTGGAATTGAAAGATAAGTTTATTTTTGTATAAAACCACGTTGAAATCCATCATATTTTTTTTTGTCAGAACTCAGTACAAATAAAACAAGTGTAGGGGAATATAGGATTCATGAAAGAAAATGGAGACAAACTAGAAAGAATGGAACTAGCTGGCTTGATGGTTGAGCCGCTGATTGGGTCTTGTTGGAGTGCTTCTGTGTGGGCCCCGGGCTCTGGCTTCTGATTCCAGCTTGATGCTTATGTAGGTCATGGGAGGGGGCAGGTGGCGAGTCACATAGCTGCTTCTCTGCCACTCATGTAGGAAACCAGGACTGAGTTCCTGGTTCCCATTTCTGTCCTAGTCAGGCCTTGGTCATTGAAGACATTTGTAGAGTGAATCAGCAGATAGGAGTGCTTGCACACTGACTCCCTCCCTCCCTCATTAATACACAAAAAGTACTTAACATGTTAAAGGAATTAAAAGATATATCAATCCAAGAAGCCATAATGGAAAAGATTGATAATTTTGACTACATAAAAATGAAAAAATTATGCTGCTGCAAAAGGAAAAGGAGATTCGAAGCACTGTTCAATATGTTCCCATGTATAAAATAAATGATACTTTTTATTTTAAAAAATTGAGATAAAATTTGTATTATATGAAATCAATGATTTTAATGATTTCAAAGTACATGATCAGTGGTTTTTAGTACATTCAATATGTTATACAACTATCACTGCTATTCCAGAACATTATCATTCCCAAAGTCCTCTCCTCAGTAACAGTGACATCCCTTTCATGTCTCCTGCAGCCCTTGGCAACCGCTAATTTGTTTTCTAAATCTATGGGGTTTTCTGAGCTGGACATTTCATATGAAAGAAATTGTCCAAAATAGATACCCTTTTATGTCTGCCTTCTTCTCTTGGCATGTTTTTACTGTCCATCCATTGTGTAATGGCACAGTACTTTCCTATTTTCAACCATATAATTTATATTATTTTGTATGGAAATACCACAATTTATTCAAGGGTCTTTCCACTTATATATATATTTGCATATTCATGTGTGGTTCTATTGATTTTTGTATGCTTTCAAAGAATATTCTTGGAAAAAAAGTACTGAAGACACTTACCTGTGGCTGTTTCTGGGGCCAGGGATTTTGGGATTGAGGTCTAGGGCAGAATGAAAATTACTTTTTATTGTTTTATCCCTTTTCAGTAAATGTTTGTGCCAATTAAAAAAGATGAGATATCTGTCCATTCAAAAACTAGGTTTTTTTTTTAATGGCCCTTAAAGTTGGTATTTTCTGGGCCCGGCATGGTAGCCTAGCGGCCTCATGTCCTCACCTGCACTTCTGGGATCCCATATGGGCACAGGTTCTAATCCTGGCAGCCCTGCTTCCCATCCTGCTCTCTGCTTGTAGCCTGGGAAGGCAGTTGAGGGCAGCCCAAGGCCTTGGGACCCTGCACCTGCGTGGGAGACCCAGAAGAAGCTCCGGGCTCCCGGATTTAGCTTGGCGCAGCTCTGGCCATTGCGCTCACTTGGGGAATGAATCAACAAACGAAAGATCTTCCCTTCTGTGCCTCCTCCTCTCTGTATATCTGCCTTTCCATTAAAAAAAGTTGTAAAAAAAAAAGTTAATATCTTCCTCCTTCATTGTCTTTAAAAGGATGCCAATGCTTTAACTGAATATGTTTACAAGTGTAAAAACCAATATCTGAGTATTTTGAGTATTTAGCAATGTCATGTTCATGGTGCCTGGCTTCAATCTAGTCCCTGCAGGCAATTGGAGGCAGAGCTCTTTCTCTGCCTCTCTAACAGATATCTAAATAGATAACTGACCAATTCTAAAAACAAGGCAAAGTAGTGTTTAGCCAAATTAGAATCCAGAAAAGCTACTTTAATAATAAGAATTTTAATTGTTGCAATATATTCTCAGTAATAACTTAATTTAATTTAACTTTTTGGAAAAACAAAACTGCCTCTTTAGGGAGCAGATTATTCTGATCAGTGCTACAAATGGACCAGAAAAAGCCACAGAAGCTAGTTAAGGTAACACTGAAGCCAGTGTTGGTAATCAGTAGATGTGCTGACATAAACCATTATACAAAAGAACTTTTGCACATCACTTTAAAATGTGGCTAACAGAAAGTTCATGTTCAAGTTTTGACTCCAGTTGTGGATTGAATGGACTTAGAAGCTTTTTGTGAGGAAAATGCATGGCAGTCCAGTAGGTCTTGATAGACGTGAAGTATGAACCTTTCCTCGTTAGTCAATATCCTCCTAGTTCTCAGAAATCCTATTTTCTGTCTCTTTAAAAACAGATTTATTTTAAAGTTTTATTTATTTATTACTGGAAAAGCAGAGTGGCAAACAAAGAGGGAAGAACACAGAGAGGGTTTCCATCTGCTGGTTCACTCCCCAGAATCTCACAGTAGCCAGGGCTGGCCTAGGCCGAAGCCAGGAGTCAGGAACTCTGGTTCTGCCTTCTAGGTGGCAGGAGCTCAAGGACTTGGGTCCTAACCTGCTGCCTTCACCGGCACACCAGCAGGAAGCTAGATCAAAAGTGGAGGAGCTAGAATTCAATCCCAGGCACTCCAAGTGCCAAGCAGCAGCTTAACCCATTGCGTCCTGATGCTTGCCCCCACAAAAAGTATTTCATCAGATTTAAAGCATATATTCAAGGGCCTGTGATAGAAAAATTTATTTTTATAAGTATGAAAATGGAAATCTCAGGTTCTACCTATCCTTAAACCTATACCTAAAGCGGTATCTGAACCATATATAGCTATGATCTCCTCTCAGCCTTCAATAATTTAAAGCAGCATTTTCTAGTAGAAATGAGCCATATACATAATTTCTATTTTCTTGGTACATCAGAAATTTCAAGTAACAATCCAGGGGCTGATGCAGTGGCTTTTTAGGCTAATCTTCACATGCAGTGCTGGGATCCCATGTGGGCGCCAGGTCATGTCCCAGTTGTTCCACTTCCCATCCAGCTCCCTGCTTGTGGCCTGGGAAAGCATTAGATGACGGCCCAAAGCCTTGGGACCCTGCTCCCACATGGGAAACCCAGAAGAAGCTCCTGGCTTCAGAACAACTCAGCCTTGGCCATCTCTCTTTGCAACTCTAATTTTCAAGTAAAATAAGTAAAAATAAATCTAAAAAAGTAGCCAGATGAAATCAATTTCAATAATACATTTGATATGTGAAATATTATCATTTATAAGAGTGACTTAATTTTTATTTGAAAGGCAGAGTTAAGAAGCAGGAAGACATAGAATGATGTTCTAACTTGTTAGTTCACTCCCCAAATGCCTACAATGACCAAAGCTGGGTCAGGTCCAAGTTCCTTCTGGGTCTCCCATGAGAATGCTGGGGCCCAAGAACTTGGGCCATCTTTCAGTGCTTTCCCAGGAACATTAGAGGAGAATTAGATTAGAAGTGGAGTAGCTGGGTCTCAAATTGGTACCCATATGGGAAGCCAGCATTGCTGCTAGTGTCTTAATACGGTGTACCACAGCACTAATCACAAAATATTATCATTTTAATATGCAATCACATTAAAATTGTTAGTGATATCTTACACATTTTTCCTTCATACCATGTCTTTGAAATCTACCATGAGTTTTGCACTTTCATTGCCTGTCAGTTCAGATTAGCTCCATTTCAACTCCCTAATATCCTATGTGGCTTGTGGCCACAATATTGGATAACACTGTTGAAAACAGTTCTTGAACATAAAGTTGTGCTAACATCTGCTAAATTTGTGTGATAGTCACATCTTGGTTATATTTTGGGGTATGTACTTGAAGTATTTTATGATTTTAAAAAGGGAGAATAACATGTAGATTTTTTTATAAAAAAACAGACTAAACCTGTACCCCCAAATGATGATCTTATTAATGTTCTAACTGCAGAAGAGCAATGGATGAATAGTAATAAATAGCAGATAATCCAAGTGCTTTATTGGAGGATTGGAATACATTTTATAATTATGTTTTATGTAAATATGCTCATTGTTCTTAAAATTCTCCAGACTATATGAAATATTGGAGTGTGCCTGGGAGGCCTGACTCAGGAGTTCTCCGGGAGCTGTTCTGGCTACATTTGTATGATCTGTGAGACCAGCAATACCTGGTTTCTATCACAGATGGCAAGATGTCCCAACAAACAGAAGCAATACCATTTCAACAAACTTTATTTACTTCTTGTTCTCTTTCTTTTTCTAAAAGATTTATTCATTTATTTGAAAGGCAGAGTTATAGAGAGAAAAGGAGAGACAAAGAGAGGGATCTTCCAGCTGCTGGCTCACTCCCGAAATGGCTGTGACAGCTGGGGCTGGGCCAGGCAGAAATTAGAAACCAGGAGCTTTTCTTGGGTCTTCCACATGGGTGCAGAGGCCCAACAGCTTGTGTTATGCTCTGCTGCTTTCCCAGGCGCATTAACAAGGAGCTAGATTGAAAATGGAGCAGCTCGGACTAGAACCAGTGTCCATGTGGGATGCTGGCATTGCTGGCAGCAGCTTGATCCACTATATAATGCTGGCACCTTATTCTCTTTCTCATGCTTGCTCTCTATTTTTAAAAATTCATTTATTTACTGACGAGGCAGAGAAATACATGGAGGGAGCACCTGTCTTGCTCATTCTTTAGATGTCTACAATGGCCAAAACGGGGCCAGGTTGAGGCCAAGAATGAGGAATTAAATCTAGCTCTAGGTGAGAGGGAGTTGATTCCTTGAGCCATTGCTGCTGCTTCCTGAGACTTTCATTAAGAGGAAGCTGAAGTGAAGTGCCACAGCCAGGAATAGTTACCTAGGCACTCCCATGTGGATTGGAGGTGTCGTATTCTCTAGGCTAATTGTCTTCTGCTCCTCTCCTGTTTTTATCACTATTAACATTTTTTTGCAGTTTTTGGGGCACAGGAGTCTGCTTTTTTTTCCCCATCAACCTTTTGAACTCTAAGGACCAACAATGACCAGAAGTGTTTGCAGATGTATAATGTCAATTACAAAAATGTAAATGTCTTAGGAACCACTCATTCATTCAATTACAAATGTCTACCAAGGGCTTGCTGTGTGGTAGACAAATCTGAGAATGATTTCGAGGGATCCTGAAATATAACAACCTAAAATTGTACTCACTCCAATTTATTATTTTCTGTCAGTTATGTCTTTTCTGCTTGGTTTATTACATCCCTTTCCTCTGCTTCTCTCTGCACCTCCTCCTGCAGATACTTCATGCTCATTATGTCTTGGAAGTGCTATTTGAAACCAAGAAAGCCCTGATGCACAAGCCGAATTTCACTCATGTAGACACCTCTCCCACCAAAGAGATAACAATCTGTGGTAAGTCTCAGAGTAGAGTTTTCAAATTAATATTTGGGAGCCTCTTGCTCCTACATCATTTGCCTAACTTGAAAACTGTAAATTGGATGGTGTTAAGGGAAAAATGTTAATATAGAATTATCTATCATGATAATACTGTTCCCCATCTTGTCTTTGTTTTGCATACCAGCTGGTAGGAATTAATTATGTGAGAAATTAAAAGAACTCATAGCTTTTTATAAAGGCAGGCAGCATTTTAATATGGAAAACCACTCATGGGTGGAATAAGTGTTCTTTGCCCTCCGTCTAGCTCTCATTATCTTTGTTGCATGTGGCTTTTTCTAGGTGGGTCTCTGCATGCCACTTACCCTTGGTAGACAAAAGCCCAAGTCAGGCTAGAAAGTAAACTCTTCTTGTTGCCCTTGGCTGCTGTTTTAGATTGTTCCAACTGGTCTCCAGCTTGTAGAAGAGTGGGAAGGTCCCAGAAATCTGTTTCTTGTTCTTCTAAATAACAAGATTTGAAATTTTGTTATCATATAGGTCAGCCTGGCAGGATATTGCTTCAAGAAAGAGCACACGCTGAAATTCTTCCCAGTTGGTGCTCAGCATGCTTACAGCTGCCTGAGAATGGGCTGAGTGGAAGGAACAGCAATTCTCTTCACTTCTAATTAAACCTTTAGCTTACAAAACAGGGATGGTTCTTTTCCAAATCAATTTTTAGCCCATGTTTCTCTTACTCTGGTAGGTAGAAGTGGATTTGACAATGTAATTAAACCATTTCTATTCACAGCATTTGACAGGGGTGAGAGGCATTTTATGTGGCAACGACATTCCTCATGCTGGAACCCAGGTTTCTGAAGATTTTCTAATGGCTCCATTGTGACCAAATCAGGAAACCCCGTCTCTGACTAGCAAATGTGGCATCTCAGCACCAGAGGCCTTGTACGCCAGGCCCTAGCAGGCCTAACTGTTTTTCATGGAAATAAAGCACTTCGAATCATGAGGCTCAGCAGGCCATGCCAGCCTGACACCAGGGCTGGATTTGCTACCATGTTAAAGCCAAAATAGCAAATATGTTTCCAGTAACCCCACAGTAGCCATTGCAGTCTCATGTTTGATAAATAGAGTCTGGAAAAAGACTTAGAGGGCAAGGAAATCCTAGCATCCCATAGTGTAAGAACCAAATGATTCTTACAGAGATGGTCTAGTTGATATATCCTTCACTACTAAGAATGTAATTGAGGCCCTAAGACAAAAAAAAAGTGTGTTACATATGCTTCTGTGTTAGCCCCACCCCTGCCAAGCACCCTTAGCTAGTCAATGGCAGGGTCAGAATTAAAAACCAGCTTTTCTGTATCCCATTGAGGTGACTTCATATCTGTCAACTCCCATCATGAGCCCGTTTGGCTGATATTTCAGTTTCCATTATAAGACAAAGGCTACTAAATGGGTTGATTGGATAATTCTATTAATTTAAAGGTTCCCCCATCTTCAACATTGATTTCCAGACTTTGTCCATGTGGAAACACTGCTAGAGGGAAATCCAAAGATCATTGTGTTCTCTTAACATAGCAATTATTGTTTTCTGTTTTAAATGGCCCATTGCACATGGGCTGTTTCGTCATCATTGAACATTTAAAAGCTTAAAATATTTTACAGTTTGAAAATTTACAATTGGAGTCATCTTTTCTAAACCATTTTCTGTTTAAGATGGTATTAGGAAAGAGAGAGAAATTGTGTTCAAAATTTACCATTAATGTCAAGATGCATTTTTTAAAAATTAATTTTATTGCAAAGTCAGATATATATATATATATAGAGAGAGAGAGAGAGAGAGAGAGAGTGGAGAGAGAGGAGAGAGAGAGAGAGGAAGATCTTCCATCCACTCATTCATTCCCCAAGTGATCACAACGGCCGGTGCTACGCCAATCTGAAGCCAGGAGCCAGGAGCTCTTTCAGGTCTCCCATGCGGGTGCAGGGTCCCAAGGCTTTGGGCCATCGTCTAATGTTTTCCCAGGCCACAAGCAGGGAGCTGGATGGGAAGTGGAGCTGCTGGGATTAGAACCGGTGCCCATATGGGATCCTGGCGTGTTCAGGGCAAGAACTTTAGCCACTAGGCCATGGCACCAGGCCTGTCAAGATGCATTTTATGTGCACATCTAAATATGCCTGTTTAGAATAGATCTTAGCATGTATTAAATATAGGAAACTTTCTACACTAGTTACATTATAAATGATAACCAGTTCTGTACTCATAGTTTTAAATTTTTTTACAATTATCTATTTTTATTTGAAAGGACAGGGTTATAGAAGCAGCAGAGACATGGAGTGAGACCTTCCATCTGCTGGTTCCTTCTCCAAATGGCTGCAGCAGCCAGAGTTGGGCTGGTCCTAAAACAGGAACCTGGAGCTTACTTTGGGTCTCCCAGATGGCTACAGGGGCCCAAGGACCTGGGCTATCCTCCACTGCTTTCCAAAGAAAGGAGCTGGATTGGGAGTGGAACAGTCAGGACTTGAACTGGTGCCATATGGAATGCCAGCACGGCAGGCAGAGGCTTAGCTTACTACAGCGTGTTACCGGCTCCCACTTGAACTCTTGATATACTGTAACACTTTTTTTTTTAGATTTATTTATTTATTTATTATAAAGGCAGATTTTTTAAGAGAGAAGGAGAGACAGAGAGAAAGATCTTTCATCTGCTAGTTCACTCCCCAAGAGTTCACTATAACTGGAGCTGAGCTGATCCAAACCCAGGAGCTTCCTCCAGGTCTCCCACATGGGTACAGGGTCCCAAGGCCCTGGGCCATCCTCCACTGCTTTTCCAGGCCACAGGCAGGGATCTGGATGGGAAGTGGGGCAGCCAGGAGACAAAGCAGCACCCATATAGGATCTCAGCACATGCAAGGCAAGGACTTTAGTCACTGGGCTACCATGCCAGGCCTGACAATTTGTTTTATCATGCCATCTATTACGGTTCTATATACCTAAATTTTTGAAAGACAAGGCACTTTGAGGGAAATTTTTAAAATAAATAAAAATTTATATTTTAAACTGATAAAATTAAAAAAACCTTCTATCTTCATTTCCTTGTACTTGGAGTGAGACGATATTGAATCAATGATATTTAAAAATGCAATGATATATTAACTTTAATATGATGCTCTTAATCGTAATGTTATAATTATGTTTTATAATTAAGTGCTGGTGACATGGGATTTTAATTTGATTAACCTCAGTATAACTGGAGTCTTCTGTTGCATATATTTGGCTCATCTTGATTGTGGGATTTTAAGCAAACTGAGGAAAAGTGTTCCTAAATTAAATTCTGCGGTAATTAGGTTCTATCCAAAGAATAAAAATTTATTAGCAGAACTTGTGAAAGGCAGATATTTTACCTAGCAATAGTTACTCAAATCGGGCTTTTGAATATTCACATGTACGCTCTTAAATTAAGGACTTCATAGATTCATTTGCTTTCCCTGAGTTGGCTTTCTTTTTTATTTCCTATAACTGCTATCTAAAGAATGTCAACCACACACAATTTTTACATTTTGGTGCTTGCTCTTTAAAAAATAGCTGTAAACAGCTATAAACAACTATGCATTTAGTGATTAAATGTATTTATTGAGTGCCTACTGTGCACCAGCTACTGTGGGAGGCTCTTGTGGACTCAGTGCTGAGATAGCTACTGTTGCTACTCCCCTGGGGGTTACTGTGTCCTCAGCAGGAGTAATTGCTCCCAGCTGGAGCTTGAAGCAACATAAAGTTGGGTTTGAATTTCAGCTCTGGGAGAGTTGGTAACTGGGTAACTGCCTAAGTTCCTGAGAACTACTCTGAGCCTGATTTGTAAAATGAGAATGATAAAAATAATACTGGCCTCATAGCAGGATTGTTAGTACTGAACAGGATAAATCATATAAAATGTCAGCACAGTGCTTGGCCCAGAGGGAGTGAGACTGCATAAATGGCTGGAGTGAACAGGCCAGATGTTGTGCCCTGAGAGGAGGTAGAAGAGTACCAGGCAAATTCTAAAAAAAAAAATGATAGTTTTTTTTTTAGATTTATTTTTTATTATTATTGGAAAGTCAGATATACAGAGAAGAGGAGAGAGAGAGGAAGATCTTCATCCGATGATTCACTCCCCAGACAGCTGCAACGGCTGGAGCTGAGCCAATCTGAAGCTGGGAGTCCAGAGCTTCTTCTGTGTCTCCCTTGTGGGTGCAGGGTCCCTAGGCTTTGGGCCGTCCTCCGCTGCTTTCCCAGGCCACAAGCAGGGAACTGAATAGGCTGCCTGGATGGGATGCCGGGATTAGAACTGGCACCCATATAGGACTTTAGTCACTAGGCTATCATGCTAGACCCAAGAAAGGATAGTTTTATAATAGATCTTTTATCAACTATGCACTAACCAAGTGCCTGCAACAGCTGGGACTGAACCATGCTAAAGCTGGGAACTGGGAATTCTATCAAAGTCTCCCACAAGGGTGGCAGGGACCCATATACCTGAGTCATTACCACTGCCTCCCAGGCTACACATTAGCAGAAAGCAAGTGTCAGAAACAGAAGCATGCACTTTTTCAATATGAGATAGGAGCATTTTAATTGTTTCCCTAAATGCCCCCCCCCCCAAATTACCTTTGAATTAACATCATTGGAGGGTAAAAACCTTATCAGCAGTGTTTCATTTTAAGATTTTATAATACAATGGCAGCCCAGTGTTGCGGCTCAGTGCTGGCATCACCTACAATACTAGCATCCTATATGAGCAGTGGTTCAAGTCCTTTCTGCTCTACTTCTGAATCTAGCTCCCTGATAACGTGCCTAGAAAGCAGCAGACAGCCCATGTGCTTGGGTCCCTACACCCACATAAGCAGACCTGGATGAAGCTCCTGGTCCTTGGCTTTGGCCGGCCCAAGTCCAGCTCTCCAAATGTGGCCATTTGGAGAGTGAGCCACTGAGTAAAAGATATTGCTCTGTCTTGTCCTTCTCTCTATAATTTGGATTTCAGATGAAATAAATAAATCTGTAACAAAACTAAAATGGTGGGCATTGCACCTTGTTTCCTACTGAATGTGATTTTTATTTGCATTTCAGGAGATTTGCATGGGAAACTTGATGACCTATTTTTGATCTTCTATAAGGTAAATGATTATTTTGCTAATTGTTTACATTTGGTTTGGGAGGGAAGTCCTAGGATAGATAATAATAGTTTTGCTAGAGATATAGACAGATATAAATGTAATGTTATTTTTATTCAAGAATCTCAAAGATTTGTTTTTTGTTGTTTTTCTTTTAAATTTTATTTATTTTTATTGAAAAGGCAGATTTACAGAGAGGAGATAAAGAAAGATCTTCCATCCACAGGTTCCTTCCCCAAGTGGCCACAGTGGCTGGAGCTGAGCTGATCTGAAACCAGGAGCTTCTTCTGGGTCTCCCACGCAGATGCAGGGTCCCAAGGTTTTGGGCTGTGCTCAACTGCTTTCCCAGGCCACAAACAGGGAGCTGGATGGGAAGTGGAGCAGCCAGAATTTAAACTGGCATATGGGATTCTGGTGCTTGAAGGGGGGAAATTAGCCAATTGAGACATTGTGTCAGGCCCAAGAATCTCAAAGATGTGTAAATACATATATTTTTAGTTTTTAAAAAAATATTTATTTGAAAGGCAGTTTCAGAGAGAAGGGGAGAGGCCGAAAAATAAATCTTTCATCCACTGATTCGCTCCCCAAATGGCCACAACAGCTAGAGGTGGGCCAGGCTAAAGCCAAGAGCCACTAACTTCATCTGGCTCTCCCACGTGAGTTCAGGGACCCAAGCATGAGCTACATTCCACTGCTTTCTCAGGTGTGTTAGTGGGGAGATGATGGGAAGTGAAGCAGGCAGGACTTGAACTGGTGAACTAGTACCTATAGCAATGCTGACATTGTAGCAGTAGCTTAACCTGTTATACTACATTTCTGGCCTCTTACTTTTTGTTTTTTTATACACATATCATAAATCTTAAAAATTGAGTCATTGTTGAACATTATTACTGCATGTCCTTTAGAGCTTGTACTTTATTGTGTTTATTGCTTTTACTGTATCATGAATGTCTATGGGATAGGGAGGAAGTAGTGTGTTTTATGTGTTTTTATTTCATTTGCAATTGAGCATGTCATATGCCAGTCTTCTCTCCCAAAGCACAGTTTCACAGTTTTGAGAATGGCTGTTGTGTAATGCAGTACCTGCTTCCTTTCCAATTGTTCAGAGGATCACTCCTGCTGTTGATGATTACAGCCTGGAGAGGGAAAAAAAAGGGGCAGTCTGGCAATTGTTTCTCTAGAGGCTTTGGGAAGTATATCTAATGGAAAAATAGTTGCGTAAATTAAATTCAGAACGTAGTCACTAAATTCCACAGCATTAAAAAAAAATGTCTTGCAAGGCAGTCGATGATGTTAAAATGTGATTACAGATAGGGCTCTGGAATAGACAGATGAGGAAAGAGTATCAGGACGTGTTTCATTAATTCTGTCCATGAAATGCTAGGGAGCATATCAAACTGGAAGGTGCTAAGAGTGAACAGGAGGAGGTAGGTGGAAGGAGCACTATAAAAGGAACTGAAGGTAAAAATATAGCATTCAGATGGAGCAAGAAATATTTTGAAAGCTAGCCAGTAAGAGTGTTCAGGAAGTGAAGAATGTGGGTTCCATGATGAGAGAGGAGGGCACTATTACATTTGGGGTGGATCTGAGCAGAGAGAGCTGAGCAAGATGTTTAGAAATCAGAATTTTAGCAGGCTTGGGTGAGAAGAAGGTAAACTACGTCTTGAACCTGGAAGGAGCCAAACACATCAGAGTCGTGAAGTTGACTGTTTTGGAGGAGGAGACAGGGAAGGGCCGCTAACAGTTGCATGATTCGTCTTTAAGAGACAGAAAAGAAATCTAATGTGAACAGCAGGACAATAGTAATGAAAACTATGCTGTGCATTGGATTTCTGCAAAATGAATCAGCTGCTCTTGCCACAAAGCCAAAGATGGGTGAGCATGTAAGATGATGGATATGTTCATTTCCTTCATTACAGTAATGACATAATTTAAAAGAGAGTAACAACTCTGGTCCAAGCAGTGGGAGAGGGAGCTGATCACTAATATTATTTGTTACTGTTAATAGTGGAACAGCAAAACACCCTGACAGAATATTATCATTTCAAAGAATTTGTGAAGACTGAATGAAGACCTATTTTCCCTTATTAAAAACATTTTTTTAAAGGAAACTTGAAATGATGGTGTAGTTAATGGTGTCTGAGAAGTGATAATGACAAAAGGGGCTTGTAATGATGGTACTAGGTAACTTTGTGTATGGCAAAATCAGTGTCCTGAGATAGAGGCAAAGATATGAAAGCATAGCACACAGAGATGTGTGAGGAAGATGCAGCCCAATGACTATCTCTAATTTGTGAGATCAGCATTTTGTCCTTTTCTATTTCTTTTTCTAATCTGCAACTTAAATACAGAGGTAGTAAGATTACACAAGTGGATTGCAGCCTAAAACAAGGTGTTCTGGAAACAACATTTATATGTATAAATACAAAAGACAGGTGATAGTCTACCTATCCCATTCTCAAACTTTATTTTACTTTACTTATCTTCTCTTGTCCCTCATATGATCCTAAGCCCAGGACTGTGTAAGGGTGTTTGGGCCTTTGAAATGCTTGTCATAGGGAAATAGCCACTAAGCTGCTGCTTGTGACACCTACATCCCATATTGGAGCACTGGTTCCTGTCCCAACTGCTCTGCTTCTGATCCAGTTACCTACTAAGGTGCATGAGAAGGTAATGAGTAGATGATAACCCACGTGCTTGGGCCCCTGCCATCCATGTGCAAGACCTGGATTGAGTTGTAGTCTCCTGGTTTCAGCCTGGCTCAGCTCTGGCTGTTACACCTATTTGGGGAGTAAGCCAATAGATATATGGTCTCTCTGTGTCTCTTTCAAATAAACAGCTAAACAAGCAAGCAAATACATATTTTTTAAAATAAGATATTTCTAATAAATCCAAAACACTCTGCTCACAGGACAGGCCTTACATAGACCCTTATTGGAGAACAGTGAAGATGTTTCAGGAAAGCATCATACACACAGGGGTAGCTGTCTGGCTACCTGTCCCACAGCAGAGTAGAGTAGGTGAAAGTGAAATATAATAGAAGAGATGAAAAGTCAAAGCTCTTCCTGGCAGTAACAGGAAATAATAGAACTACAAAAATTATGTGGAAAATCAAGTACTAATATTCAGCGATCTGGGGAATGCAGAAGAGAACTCTGGACTTCTCAGAAGTTCCTGAAAGGTTATTTAGATTGATAAGCCTGCCTGGACAAGAAAGTTCCCACTTGTATACTGTATATATACTATGCTGAATAATAAATGGAACAAATGGTATATTCTAGAGAATCCCAACCACACACATAAAAGACACTTGTTTGAAAGAGTAGGTTTCAGTGATCTGGGAAATTCTTTTTTTTTTTAAGATTTATTTTTATTATTTTTTTTATTGGAAAGGCGGATATACAGAGAGGAGAGACAGAGAGGAAGATCTTCCATCCGATGATTCACTCTCCAAGTGAGCGCAACGGCTGATGCTATGCCGATCCGAAGCCAGGAGCCTCTTCTGGGTCTCCCACGCGGGTGCAGGGTCCCAGAGCTTTGGGCCGTCCTCGACTGCTTTCCCGGGCCACAGGCAGGGAGCTGGAAGGGAAGCGGGGCTGCCGGGATTAGAACCGGCGCCCATATGGGATCCCGGGCGTGCAAGGCGAGGACCTTAACCACTGCGCCACTGTGCCGGGCCCTGGGAAATTCTGTTAAACAAGTAACAATCATTGTTGAGTGTTAGATGTAGTAAAAAGAGAGATCATTTAAAAAATAGAAACATTCATTAGATAAGAATGATGGTCCAGAAAATCAGATGAAGAATTAAGGAAAAGAATATAATCAAATGAAGAGAGGAAGTAGGGACTGACGGACTTCTCTTTTTGGTGTCACATACAAAGATTGCTTACTCAAGGGTTACAGGAGGTACATAACCATGACCTAAGCAGTCATTCTAGGAAATCGTAAAATTTCTGTGACAAGCTCTGATTTTCATTGCAATACTTTGGGCTCACTCAAAATGTCTTGAACTCATTGGGTCCCAGGTGCGTGTAATGCCTTGCTCTGGTTCATTGATAGGAGCCATGAGGCTGAGTTAAATATGCATAAGCAACAAACTTCCAAGCCTTATTTTAGAAGTAGATAATGGCCATGTTTAAACACCTTTAGTTTATTGTTACTATTTTTTCTAAGGAAAGCAACATTTGCTTTGTGGGACTATTTTAGCAAATTACATTTTGTTGGGGGAGTTTTGGAACAATGAATTACCAGAATTTAAATACTTAACTGATTCCTCTTCATCAACCCAAAAGAAAATCAGAAAAACCTCAGGTTTTGAATTAGAGAAATTTTTAGTACTGTTGCACTAGATGTTTTCTAGACATTTTCTTCTTCATTGACACAATATGGGTACAGCTGTCCAGATGATAGGGCATAGTCTGAGGGGAAGTTAAAATGTAGGGTCCCTAAGATGCTTCACCACTTGATCTCGAAGTGGTTGGTTTGACTTAAGATTTCTCTTGTTGTAACCATTATATGCTAAATTCATTCTAACAGTTCATTCAAAAAATTTTTGTTTGATCGTTTTGGTGTTTAAAGTATCATATAAAAATAGTAGGAACATACAGTGGTGAATACAAAGTTCATCTATTTATTAAACACCTATTATGAATGCAGTACTCTGTCAAGGCCTAGTGGTACAATGTGACTAAGATACGGTTGTTGGCCCAAATGTCCCCAGAGTTAAGTGGGGAAGGTTGGTTGATAAGAAGACAAAATGGTGCATGGCGGGATGTATTGTGATTCAGTTGAATATGGAATTCCAAGTACTAGCATGCCACAAAGAAAGAAAGTATTCATACATGTGATTGTTTTGGGATTTTGGTTTCCTTAATACTTGACTTTCCTGAAAAGTGGCATCATTTAGACTTTAATATGAAGCAAGACATTTTCAGCTTACAATCCCATCTGGATTTGAAAAGGATTCTTCCTGCCTGGATACTACATTCTTAACCACAGCAGAT